GGGGGGGGGGGGGGGGGGCATTAATACAACACAACCCTTCTCCCAGGGAGACAGCTGAAAGGGCAAAGATCTTCAAAAGAAGCAAAAGAAGATCTTCAAAGAGCAAAAACCTCTTCAGAAGCTACAGCATCTTTCTTTGTATCTCAGACTACTAGAAAAATGTAACACACTTACATGTGCACTTGCCCCTCTATGCAAGTACCTACATGACTGCATCCTTCCACACCAGTACTCATGTCCCTAAACACAGGTGGATGCATACAAAAGACACATACACTTACAAACATGTATGCCCAGGAAGATACCTAATAGGAAAAGTCAACCAAATGATACACATTCAAACATTTCAAAATTAGGAGCTGCAAAAATGTGGCTTTGCATTAATGCAAAAGGAGGGAGGCAGGGGAGAGAGGGAGGAAGAGATTTCAAATTTAGCATATCTATTGGGATAAGGATTTTTCAATGCAGCCTGAGGAATGAGGATTTGAATTCCCGTGGGTAGATATAAATGCAAATATAGATATATGCACACACATACAGCCCAGTCTACTAAGTCAAATTATACATAAGAGGTCAGAAAAATCGAGTAAAGGATGTTGTAAAGGGTCTCCTTTTGCAAAGGTACACAGTCCAGATCTTTTCTAAGCATTCAGAGAAGTTTAATGACTTGTGAGAGACAACAAGAATCGATCGCCACCAAATTGTCTCTTAGAATTGGGTTACAATGGCCATTACACCCTCTCTTGTATGTGCTCCTCACTTAGTAAGTAAGCATCCCCGCAAGCAGTGTGCCTGGAGGAAGAGCAGGGTACACCACAGTCAGCAGAAAGGAGAATGGGCCCTTCCTGTACCTAGGACACTTTGATCTTAGCTTTATTCAGCAAATGGCTTTCTCCTTTGATCCTGATGCAGCAAACTCCAATCATTAATTAGAACGGATGTTCCATTTTTTTTTTGTTGTTCCCTATCAGGGAACCAGCCAGCAGAACAGTGTTTTGGCTACAGAACCTCTTTTAGAGTTTCTTCATATTTCCAGGACCAAGTAATTATTCTGGCAACGGATCTCTCTGATTTAATTTTTGATGGCTCACTTCTGCTTTTCCAAGTAGCACACTCAGCTCCCTCCCCTGCATCCACGAAGGAGTCCATCCAGATAGCTCATACATCATGACCCAAGCATGTAGGGCCCAGTCCCGCGCCCAGCATTTGCCTCCCTGATAGGTATGAGAAGGAAGCAGATTCTGCAACATGTTTGCCAGCTGCCCTACAAGAGACTTCAGAATATACCAGATGCAGTGAAGCTGAAAAACATGGGCACATCTTAGCACACCGATTCATACTAAGCTGACTGAAAATACTCCCAGCTCCTGCTCACTGCCACACTTCTCTGTCAGAGATCACCAGCAAGACCAGCAAATTACCTTGGCTGACAGCCCCGTGAGTGAAAGGAGGACCTCCACTACCATCACTTCACATCAAAAAAACAGATTATAGCTTGAACAGCTGATGAACAATCACCAGCCCATGTCACCCTGATGACAGATGGTCACAGACCACAGGGCCCTCAGAGGCTGTGCCTTTAGGAATCACTATGGTCAGGTTGCTGAAGTTGTGCTAAGGGCACATCCTCCTCTACTGCTAGATCATCCCTCCTCTACATCCCCAGCACCTGGTTTTCACAGGCAACCACGCTCAGCAAGATATCTGGGTATCACTGGCTGGGCTGCAGTACAATGCACAGAGATGGTCTCCCCCCACCATATTTAGCTTAGGACCACAGAACAACAGAAGTTTCTCTGGAGGGCCATTCATACCATCAAAGTAAAGCTCCTGCCCTGCCTCACCTTCTGGAGGACACTCTACTTTGCTAGGGCCCCCAAGGGTTGATAAGTCACAGCATTTGACTTTGCTAGCAGCAACCTCCTGACACTGAATGGCATGCAC